GCGCAGAGCAGGGCAACAGAAAGTGTAATGCGTTTTCCCTTTTCAAGCCAGCAGGAGGAGCGGCCCACACTGGATTCCGGCGCAACCATCGAGGAGCCATCTCTACAGTCGCAGCAGCGGCCGGCATTGCGGAGGAGCAACCGACTGCGTCGTTTCACCCCCTACATCACAACTTCGGTGGGGAGGGTGTAGTATGCGGACGGCAGTTCAAAGTTGCCGCGCTAACTGCGCGGCAAAGAGCGCCGGCAGCATGTTCCCGCCTCCGGCAGCGCGCAGCACAGAGCGTCGGCATCAGGCGCGCTGAGCTTCGTCAAGCGCGCCAAGGGTGTGCTCAGAAACCAGCCACGCCTGTTACCTGGGCTCCGCGCACTGGTGAACCGGCCAATCAGGGGAAGCCGCGGGAAGCCTTGCGCGGGAGCTGGCCCAAATAAAAGGACGCCGACGGAGGATCACCGGCAGTAGAGCGCTCGGCGTGGTTTCAGCCAGATGGCATATTGTTTTTTGTATATGAAGTTTTGTGGTAACTGTACATAGCGGCCGAGTTGGCCCAGATTTTTGTAAATAAATATTCTTATGGAAAGTGAGTGTTTTTGAGTTATAACAGCTGNGAGTTATAACAGTGGCGACGAGTAAAAAGGAAAATGAACGCGGAACAATTTTCACAACTGATGGCGTGTCTACAGCAGCAACAGCAGCAGCAGATGGCGATGATGGTGCAGACATTGCAGCAAGCGGCAATTTCGTCACGACCGAGCAGCCCAGCCCCGCCGTTCGCAACTTACAATGCAGCAGAGGAAACCTGCGAAGAATATGTGGCCAGATTGGAGCAACATTTGTTATGCTATGATATTAAAGAGGAATCTCGTAAAAGAGCATTTTTTCTGGCCACAATCGGCGCACCGTTAAATAGGTTGTTACGTAAGTTAAGCAAGGAAGAAGAGATTTCGCAGGTGTCATACGATATACTTAAACAGCGGCTGCTAGCTCATTTTTCGAGGGAGACGCATTTAGTGGCGGCACGCTACAAGTTTTATTCATCCAGAATGAAGCCAGGCCAAACGCATGCCGATTGGGCGACGGAGTTGAAGGGTTTGGCGAAGCGTTGTGCGTTTGAATGCAACACAGAGAAATCGTATGCGGAGTCATTGATACGGGACATGTTGGTAATGCATACGCCGGAAAAAGAAGTTCGGTGGGCATTATTGCAACAAAACAACCCGTCTTTGGAAGACGCCTTAAAATTAGCAACATCGTATGAGGTAACGAAGCATACGGCGCATCAGATGACGTTAGGCGATAGAGCAGCAAGAGATGTAGAGGAAATGAGTGTACAGGAGGAAAATTGGGTAGCCAAGCCACGAAGCAGGAAGCAGCAGGAGAAGAAAAGTCCTTCCACCAGCAGAGGCAAGCTATTGAAGTCTTGTAGACAGTGTTTTATTAGTCACGACAGGAAGGTTTGCAGATTCCTCAGAGCGGAGTGCTACAAGTGCGGTAAGAAAGGGCATATTAGAGAAGTGTGCAACAGTGGTTCTGCTGAAAACAGACGACAAGAAATGGACATCGATGAGGTGAGCGGGCACGTCAGAGAAGGACGCAGCAGTGGTTATGCCGAAAGCCAGCGGCAAGAAAGAGGCATCGATGAAGGGGATGGTGATTGTATTTATTCAGTTATGCAGTGTGATGACAAAAGTAAATTGTTTGTAAA